AAATACCAATTTGTGAGTAATTGATTTGTGAGAAAGAATGAAATATATAAAGAAAAAAATCATATATATATATATATATATGTAAGGTCACGCGTAAACGACGAGGACGAAAGGATTTTGTTAAGAAATTATTTTAAATTCAAAGATTCTCCGAGTTAAAGAATAAACACGAAGCAGCTTTCCGCTTCGATTGGAATTAATTTATTCAATTATATGCCGACTGAAATTTTGCCGAGTTTCTGTGATAATTTGAACACAAACTGGTTTTTCTCATTTGGTTTTTATGGCATGGATCTAGTATTTGGTTTCTTCATTACCTAACATTACAACGGATTTTAATAATATTATTTACTCTACATAAGAAATAAACTATTCCACTTTCTTGTAATCTGGCAGAGTGGCCAGTAGTTTCTTCTTCTTTTTTTCTTCTTTAATTTAATTTTATTTATTTATTTTTTTTTATTTTTTTTATTTTTTATGTATTGCATATAAGTTATCAAGAAAGTCTTGGAACAACTGTACAAAATTAAAAAATTTGGACTATTAAAACTGCCATCAACTTATTTCTTATTTATGTATATATATATATATATATATATATATATATATATATATCCACTATTGATCGTTGACAAACGTATAGATTACAGTTTTCATTATGTACATAAAATATTGTTTAATAATCAATAGCTCACACTCATTCATCAATATGTTTATCAAAAAAAAGGGGGGGGGGATGGAAGCTTTGTCTTACAAAATCTACAAACTCAAAATTGTCTATTATTAGGCAATTTTTACGACGCAACTTTAATCGCCATTATGCACATATAACGTTCAGCATAATGACGTTAAAGGTAAGTTCTCATTAACATTCTAAATATCATAAATATAAATATTGTCTTTGAATAGCTGCTAATTCGTATTGCAATTTTAGTATAAAATCGATGGAGTCTTTCAAAACTCGGTTTATATATATATATATATATATATATATATATATATATATATATATCCACTATTGATCGTTGACAAACGTATAGATTACAGTTTTCATTATGTACATAAAATATTGTTTAGAAAAAAAAGAAAAAAAAATCAGCTGCAAACCTTTAGTGCAACTGTCGTTGAACGTAGTCTTAAAGATTTGGTTTGCCATGCCATTTCGTTACTGCAACATGAGGGATTCCAAATTCCGGTGCAAAATCGTGTCTTTAACAGCATTGAATACAACTTTAATATTCTCTGTATCGACAGCAGTTGTAAAATGATGAAACAGTGGCTTTTTTGGATCCCTTTTTACCGATACAAATAGATCTAATATAAAATTTTGAACATCTTTCATGGAATGTGAGTCACCCGTGAATTGCGGGAAGTACCAACGAACATTCGTGTCCGGAGATCTGACTTTCTTATCAAGCAAATCAGTTTTATTCAAGAATAGTATAACGGATACTCCATAGAATATCATATTATTGATAATCGTATCGAATATATTTCTTGACTCTTCCAATCTATTAGTTCGTCTGTAAAATAAAATTAAATACGTACATTAGATCCTGGCAATGTCTAGTTGAAATAAAAGTTTTTAAACGTAAGATGCAGTTCTAATTAAACAATTAAACAATAATAATAATAAAAAAGTGTCACGGAAATTTTAACGTTTTAAAATATTTCAGGTATTTCAATGTCTATTCGATGCTTCAATTAATTTGACTAAATAGACATTAATTCTAATATATTGAGATAATGAGTTTTTACGTCATAGTGTATCATTTTAGTAAAAGCTGATTCAAATAAATTAATTCTGCCATATTTTATAATTAGACAAAAAAAATTTTAATTCCAAAATATAGTATATATTGTTATTAATCTGAAAGTGAAAAACTCCTTTTTCATAGCTTTACCTTTCATTCAAAATTTTCTTTAAAAAAAATATCTCATCGTATGGTTCGTTTAATAGATATATGTTTCTAACCTTTTTTCATATTCTATTAAACAATTTTCAAAGACTTTCATAATTTATTAAAGTTTCAACCGTAATGAAATCAAGAATTTATTGGTTGTCCAATAATAATTTATGTTACACTTTTAACGATTAAGTTGTACAATCAGAATTTATCTTTATCAAATAGTAATTATTCATAATTATTCATAATTTATTACGATAAAATTAGAAGAATTAATGTACATGTACGATTTTAGCATCAAATAGTAATTTATAAACTATTATAATTTTCAAAAGTTTCATACCTATGAGTAATTTCAAGTGTATATATATATATATATATATATATATATATATATATGTATATATTTATATATATATTATATCGATGAATTTCGAAATAAATAAGTAAATTTTGAAATTCTAATCTACGATTCACTATTATTATCATTATGATTTATTACGAGTAACTCATGAAAACTTTTTACAAATACATAAAATCTAAAATATAGTTTTCGCTATATTTTGCAAAAAAATTTAATATATTAAAATAAATAAATAACAATGATAAAACACTCGTTTTGTTCTCAATATTAACTAAAATATGGAAACAATATAATTTCATAGGAGGACGAAAATCATAATCTACGTAATGTATACTCAACATTTAGTGATATACTATATATATATACATATATGTATAATAAATTTTATAAAAATATTGAAAATATAACTTCTACTTTTACTTAATCTTAATGTCTGGATAAATAAATAATTGCCATCTTCTTTACCTATCTTCCAATAAAACCTGATCAAATTCCGAAGACGACACAAGAAAAAGTATCGAGGTCACACAGTCAAAACATTGGTACCACTTTTGCCTCTGTGATCTCTGCCCACCTACATCGACAAATAAAAATGGGATATTATTAATTTGTATGACAAACTCGGATATTCCTTTCGTGGCTTTCCGGCAGTGTAAAATGTCTTGATGCGTTGGAACATATTCCTACAAAAGGATTTTACATATTTTTAATTTAGTTTGCTTTGTATTGTTACAATAATAATAGATAATAAATAATTAAGCTCACCACTCTGGCGATCCTATCGAGATTATCAAGGAAATATTGCACCGAGTCACTCTGAAACCAAACAATGTCCAATAAGTATCAATAATAGTTGGTTGTGTCATTGGACGTGAGCAATGAAACGACAGTTGTTGATAAATTAAGTAAAACAGGCGTTTGTTTTTTAGGAGGAAAATGCAAACAGCGTAAGCATTAGTCGGAGCATGAGCCAATGCAAAATTGGCCGACAATATTACGTCAAACTTACCAATTGAAATTCTCTCCGTCGATCGAATGCCTTTTTGATCGAAGCATCTTTCCATAAACTTTGTAATGCTGGCACGTAGTGCAGAAAAAGTCTAGCATCTAGTATCATGGTATTCTCAAATTTCAGCAATTGGTAGCCTATGTCATAATTTTTTGGATGCTCCCAAGGAATATTCAACTTATCACGTGCGTCGACTAAGACCTTCATTCCCTTTATAATATTTTGATAAATAACATGTTGGTACTCCTTTATTAGTTCAGGCTAGAAATAGTAAAGGCAAATCCAGTCTCGTTAGTTTTCCTTGCCCGGTAAATAATTAAATTGAAGGTAATTGTTACGATTCAATAGTAAATCACAATGTGACAGTAATAAGCCTGCGGCCTCTTAATAATACATTTTTAACCTATGATTACGTATTTGAAACGTAGATGACAGCAATCCGTACTATTAAAGGTATAACAGATGGCTGTCTTAATAAGAAAAGTACGTCCTAAATCACAATTGTAAAGAATTCAAATTCAAATGATTAGAGCGAGCAATCGTTTTATAATAGGTACCTGTAATTTATTATATTATTATATTAAGAAAAATGGTGCCTATGTTTGCTACGTATTCATTTAATGCACGAATGTAAAACCAATGCAAGTCCAATTTAACCAAATGTTATAGAAAAAAGAATTATGTCAATTGGCGGTTGGTTGAGACAGCTTAAGTAACATGGATTTAAAAACATTAAGACCCAAGAATTCTAGCTTTGGCATATTTAACGTTGAGAGTCTTTCGATCGGCCATTCTATATGTATTGTAAGAAGAAGGCTGTATAAGCTCATAGCTTTTATATGTAAAACCGAGCTCGCTGTTTGGTAATTAATTGTAAATGGTACCGATATGGAGCAAGACGATAGTTTTAACCAAAGTTTTAAAGAATTTACGTCAAAGGCCCGAACACATAGTTTGGCCTCCAAACTCCATTTTGATCGGGCAAGGACCATTGGAAAATGCAAACAAAATTTGAATAAACTAGGGCCAAAGGAACAACCGCTAATATGCAAAGCTCACCTCAAATTTGATGCCGTGTATGATCCTCATCTGCTTGAGGAAAGTCGACTTGCCGCTTTCCCCAGCACCGAGCAACAGCAGCTTGACCTGCCTGCGAAAGGCTTGACGGTCCTTCTCCAACATCCTGTCGATCTCCTGACTCTTGTACCTCTGCTCGATCTCCTCGGGGCTGAACTTGAACCTGAGACACCAAGTGCACGACCACGTCATGGGGCCCGCCATCTTGCAGCGGTCGCCCTTTCACTCTGGATTTAACAGAGCTGCGATCGTGGCTGCAGAAGGCAGGACCCTCCGAGGTGGAGCCTACCTCACCTTTCCAAAGAAAAGTCGAGGATGGAGATGGAGTTTGCGTATGCGCCAGAGATACGGGGATTCGTACGAAGGCGATGGTCGATCGTCTGACGACGACGACGACGACGACGACGACGACGACGACGACGTGGATGAGGACGACAACGTGGACGACGGCGGGCTCAGGGCACACGTATCACGAAAGGCACAAAGGCAAGTTGGCAAGGGTGGAGCACAAAAGCACACACAGCACAAAAGAGCACAGTCGGTGGTAGCGATAATAATGACAACTACAACCACGACAATAATGATGATGATGATGATAATGATTATGGTGGCGATGATAATGATGATGATGATGATGTCGATGATGATAATGATGACGATGACGATGATGATGATGAGGATGGTGGTGACGATGGTAGTGGTGGCGGTGGTGGCGGTGGTGGTGGTGGTGGTGGTGACGGTGGTGACGGTGGTGGTGGTGGTGGGGGTGGTGGTGGTGGTGGTGGGGGGGGGGGTGGTGGTGGTGGTCGTCGTCGTCGTCGTCATCGTCGTCTCGCTCCTCTGGCTCTCGCCGGCAATGATGGCACTGCCCCTCTCGTCCCTGCAGATGCTCGTCGAGGTTGTCGTCTCCTCGGACGCCGTGGGACCGATGCTTAGCTGGCGCTGCTCCATGTGATCGAGGGTCTTCTCGATAGCGCGCAACCGTTTCTCGAGGCTCGTCGTCCCGAGGATGCCGACCTGGAGCTGAGGTCCCAGGGGCAGGATCGCCAACAGCCACCAGGCCCAGGAGGGCCCGTCCGTCAGTCGGGGCCAGTCCTCCTCGGCCTCCGGCATATCTCCGAATACCCGACGAATCTCCGAGCGCTGGGACAGCGGTACCGTCACCCACCATTTCTTGCTCTTCGCCCGCACCTGCGCAAATACAAAGTCATTTTCTTAGTCATTTCCGACTTGGCGTCCGTCAACTTACGTCGTAGGTCATTTTACGCAACTTTTTCTGCATCTTCCTTATCGAAGCGAGAGCTTTCATAACATTTAGCATTTATATCCAACGATCAACATGTTTTCTTAACTAGTTTTATAATGATAAAGTCGGTTGAAAGTCTTTTTTGCGTTGTTATTGATTTTGTGATTATCGTGATAACGAAAATTTTGAGCAAGCAATGCTCTTTAGCATTATAAATATCCGTTAAAGCAAAAAAAGTCAAGTCTCGTAGTTTGTTTAATAGAGCAATGCTCCTTCTCTCTCTCTTTCTCTGTGGCCTGCTCCGGGGTCGCTAGCTTCTGTCGCGAGCGAGCGCCGCTCTCGCAAGAGAGGAATTCGCACACGCACACCTACACTCGTACGGTCGTGCTCGACGCACACTAGTTAAGGAAGAGAGAGCGAGACGAAGAAAAAATACAGGCACAAGCCGGCTCTCTCGCACCTTCGGGCAGGTTTTCCTTTACTGATGCTGTAGAGAGGCGCAACAGTAGCAACGGCAGCGGCGGCTAGCCGGACGTCGAGAAGAAACGAGGATATCGAGTTCGGAGGTTAGGGTAGGCGCAAAGACAGTCTCAGGTAAGCAAGGAGCGCGAGCCGACGACGATGAGATCCGTGCCAGGGCGCTGCTCTCGATAATCGACGACCTCGCATCAACAGTGAAGTGGGCAGCGGTGACTGCAGCTCCTTCGCGGGAATCGTTCATGATTGAATAATCGCCCGTTACAATTAGGCGAAAGCGCGCTCTCTATCCTAAACCTGCACGCCCCTCTCCGTCGCCCTTGATACCTCACTCCCACCCTCTCGTCAGCCAGCCCAGCTCTGCTCTTTCTTTCTCTCTCCCTTGCTCTCGCTCTCTCTTTCTCTCTCTCTCTCTCTGTCTGCTTTCCAATTTTATATCACTCACTCTCACTCTTACTCTCCGGTCTCTTTATCTTGCGTTTCTCCTATGTATTATGTTCTGGCGTTGGGTTGCACCGGTGGTGCACGGGACGGCAGAAATCCGACGCCGAGGCGCGCGTTCTAGCGGCAGCGGCGACGGCCACGTTTTCTTCTCTCTCTCTCTCTCTCTCTCACATACGCACACACACTCTAACTCTCGCTCAGTCACTCACTCTCTCTCTCTCTCTCTCTCTCTCTCTCTCTCTCGCTCTCTCTCTCTCTCTCTCTCTCTCTCTCTCTCGCTCTCTCTCTCTCTCTCTCTCTCTCTCTCTCTCGCTCTCTCTCTCTCTCTCTCTCTCTCTCTCTCTCGCTCTCTCTCTCTCTCTCTCTCTCTCTCTCTCTCGCTCTCTCTCTCTCTCTCTCTCTCTCTCTCTCTCGCTCTCTCTCTCTCTCTCTCTCTCTCTCTCTCTCGCTCTCTCTCTCTCTCTCTCTCTCTCTCTCTCTCGCTCTCTCTCTCTCTCTCTCTCTCTCTCTCTCTCGCTCTCTCTCTCTCTCTCTCTCTCTCTCTCTCTCGCTCTCTCTCTCTCTCTCTCTCTCTCTCTCTCTCGCTCTCTCTCTCTCTCTCTCTCTCTCTCTCTCTCGCTCTCTCTCTCTCTCTCTCTCTCTCTCTCTCTCGCTCTCTCTCTCTCTCTCTCTCTCTCTCTCTCTCGCTCTCTCTCTCTCTCTCTCTCTCTCTCTCTCTCGCTCTCTCTCTCTCTCTCTCTCTCTCTCTCTCTCGCTCTCTCTCTCTCTCTCTCTCTCTCTCTCTCTCGCTCTCTCTCTCTCTCTCTCTCTCTCTCTCTCTCGCTCTCTCTCTCTCTCTCTCTCTCTCTCTCTCTCGCTCTCTCTCTCTCTCTCTCTCTCTCTCTCTTTTTTAGGTCAGCCACTCGTTCGTCCGGGGATCCTCAGCCGGGCCGCTCCAGGTGTGGGCGAGCCACGGCGCGGTGGTGCACCGGATGCGGAGGCAGGCGTGCGCGAGATGAAAAGAGTCGTTGACACACCTGCCGCGGGAAGAGGAGAAAGAGAGAGAGAGTAGGCAGGGGACTCCTTAGGAGCGAATTCGCGCACGTAAAATCGCTCGACCCACCGTCCCCGTGACCAGTGCCTACACGCGTGGTTCGTCCTCTTTCTCTCTCTCTCTCTCTCTCTCTCTCTCGCGCGCGCGCGCGCGCCCCCCCCTCTTACTCGACTCGGACAGACCCACTGCACAATTCGATATCCGATGGTGATTTACGTGCGCTTTCTCCTTCTCTGCGTTCGCCACCACCTCCGATTTCCAAATGCCACGGAGAGGGAGAAGCCGCTCGCTGGCCACTTCCTCCCTTCTAGACACCGTGTCGACAGCCTAGAGAGGTAGTAAACTCTGTTGTGGGACTCGTCGTCGTTCGGCCTCTCGCTCGGCGTCGCTCACTCCCTCTCTTCCACTCCTTCTCGTCGTTCCAACGTCGTCGCGACGGCGACGGGACGCGATGTCGAGGCGGAAAAGCGCCGCCGGTGTAGCGACGGAGTGGCGCGCGTTCGCCCCGTGTGGGTTTAAATATCCCAATGCGCTCGTCGCCGTCGCCGTCGCCGTCGCCGTCGCCGTCGCCGTCGCTCTGCAGCCGCATTGGAGGCGATGGCTATACGGAATTATTTATTCGCATGGCCGAAATAAGAGAGAGGCCGTAAGGCGATCGAGGGTGCGGGTGGTGGACGAGGAGGAGAAGGTGATGATGGATGGCGAGGAGGAGGAGGTGGAGAGGGCCACTGTTGTATAGTGCGCTAAATCTTGAATTCGGCCCCAACCACCCCCTTTTTGCGATACGTCGAAGCGCTCTTTTCGCGGCGCACTACATTATTATTTTCGGAATCGGGGCGCCATAAAACCTGTAATAAGGCCCAGCTGGCTCTCCCCCCCCCCCCCCCCCCCCCCCCCCCCCCCCCTCCTTACCAAGCGACGCTCGCTCTCCTAGACTTTACATTTCTCCGTCAATTATAACGCGCTCTCTATCTTGACAGTCTCCCTCTCCCGCCACTTATAGCGCCGCTAAGCGCACACGCGATATTCCAGTTATTTTGCCTCTTTCTCTTTCCAATCGTGGTAGCGGTGAGCAAGCGTCCCGCGCCACGTCCCCTACCCCCCTACCATCTTCCGCCTATCCCCCTCACCACCCGTGGACGCACGTATCTACGGGCAGGTGTATTAGGGCTCGTGCCCAGTCAGTCGCACGCGGGCATTCAATCTCTTTCCGAGCGTGAGAAATGGTGGGAAGATCGGGGTGCGGCGGGCACTTGGGCGGGTGTCGGAAGGGGCAGCGGGGTTACGCCGATGAGGGACGAAGAAGAATCGTAGGGTAGTGGTGGAATAGGAGTTGTGTGTGTATGCGTGTGTGGGAGATTGGGGGGGGGGGACGGTTAGAGGTGGCAAGTGCGGAGGTGCATTTGTTTGTCCCGTGACAGATTGACGATTGCCTGTCGATGCCGCCTGCTTCGATGACGATTAGAAGGAGCGGGGAGAGGAGCGTAGCCCGGTCTTCCTCGTCTTCGACATTCGTCCGAGACACCTTCCGCGCTTCGTCGCACCGGCGCTCGACGTCGTCCTCTCGTCATTAATACTCGTATTGTTACTCGTAAGGACGATTTCGAGGCTACGTCGCGAGGCCGCGAGTAGGCGTGCGATCCCTGCGAGAAGGAGATCCGGTTGGTGCTCTCGGTAGGTGACTTTTCTCGGATTTCCATGGCTCGACGGGGACGAGCTCCGATGACTAAAACGATTCATCACGGTTTTGTGCGGGGGCGGGGTGGGGTAGGGTGGGGGAGGAGAGCGAAGCGCGTGGTTGGACTGGATTTCGTCGCTCAGACTCGCCGTTTTCTCCTGCTCGATAATCCCGGTCGCGGCACTCGGCCATCTCGAGCATCTCGCTCGCGCCGGATTATCGATCATTCGGTCCTCCTCCCGTTGACGATTGCGCGCGATATCCGATTATCGGCGCCGTCAGCCCCCCTTCCACCACCATTAACGGCACCATTACCGCTCCCGGCCCTCGTCCCGTCCTGGCCATTGGCGGACGACGCATTGCGCGTGCAACAATGCCAACGAAACCGTGGGCTGCATCTCCTTCATTATGATCGCGTGACTGTGATGACGACGCGCCCGCACCTCCATCCTCTAGCTCCAACACTCGCGGATAATAATGATGAAAAGCTTCGGTGCTGAAATAGAGACGGACGGCCTCGATGCGCCAACTAGCAAAAGATAATTATGCTATCTGCAATGAAATTCAGCTGGTCTGCCGCCGATTGCTCGAGAGTTCTTAAATAAATTTACATTATTACGGCCACTCGAGAATGAGAGTCATCATTTATATTTTTACCAACTCGTTATGCATCTTGTTTGACATTCTACCGTAATAATCATCATTATTGCTGACGTTGGGCTTACTTTTGCCGTTGCTGATATGAATGATGGTTGTTGTTGTTGTTATCATAAACATTATTGTTTTTTATTGTCGTCGTCGTCGTGGTCGTTGTTGTCGTCGTCCCTGTTGTTGTCGTAATTATCATTATTGTTATTGATATTATATTTAAAAAAACAAAAAAAAAAAAAAAAAATGATTATTATTGTTGTTGCGTCGTTGTGGTTGTCGTCGTCGTTGTCGTTGTGGTTGTCGTCGTCGTCGTCGTCGTCGTCGTCGTCGTCGTCGTCGTCGTCGTCGTCGTCGTCGTCGTCGTCGTCGTCGTCGTCGTCGTCGTCGTCGTCGTCGTCGTCGTCGTCGTCGTCGTCGTCGTCGTCGTCGTCGTCGTCGTCGTCGTCGTCGTCGTCGTCGTCGTCGTCGTCGTCGTCGTCGTCGTCGTCGTCGTCGTCGTCGTCGTCGTCGTCGTCGTCGTCGTCGTCGTCGTCGTCGTCGTCGTCGTCGTCGTCGTCGTCGTCGTCGTCGTCGTCGTCGTCGTCGTCGTCGTCGTCGTCGTCGTCGTCGTCGTCGTCGTCGTCGTCGTCGTCGTCGTCGTCGTCGTCGTCGTCGTCGTCGTCGTCGTCGTCGTCGTCGTCGTCGTCGTCGTCGTCGTCGTCGTCGTCGTCGTCGTCGTCGTCGTCGTCGTCGTCGTCGTCGTCGTCGTCGTCGTCGTCGTCGTCGTCGTCGTCGTCGTCGTCGTCGTCGTCGTCGTCGTCGTCGTCGTCGTCGTCGTCGTCGTCGTCGTCGTCGTCGTCGTCGTCGTCGTCGTCGTCGTCGTCGTCGTCGTCGTCGTCGTCGTCGTCGTCGTCGTCGTCGTCGTCGTCGTCGTCGTCGTCGTCGTCGTCGTCGTCGTCGTCGTCGTCGTCGTCGTCGTCGTCGTCGTCGTTGTTACTGTTGTTATTATTATTGCTAGAAAGACATGTAATATAGATATATTTTGATCGGTAATGAATTCGGGTCAGAACTATTTTGTTTCAACTGTATTTAGAAGATCCCTCATCGCTTGAGATTATGTATACGGACTTACGATGGCTAGATTCGAATGAAAATCTGAAAGAGACTTATGCTTGGACAGAGAAAACAACACTTTTCTTCGTGTTCATTTATCCGTTGTTTATAGACATATTTTGAGTTGTAAGTCAATTTCGTAAAAAGATAAAAAAATTAATTAATTAATTAAAAAATCCAATAGCTACGATGAATGTTCAATGATAGGATTATCGTTATTTACCGTTAAATTAATTTGTCGAATGTAAGTAATAAACTTAAATGCTTATTGGTAGTATATTATTATCCGCGAGATATGAAAAATGTTCCATATGGTAAGAGTGCTCGAATTAGTTTGTCAAATATTATTTCATCCAATGCTTGAATTCGATTTTAACTGGCTAATGCAATTCAAACTTTCTCTCGGAATACGAATCTTATGAATTTCTTTAATGCCGCATTGAACGATAGAAGAAAAAAAAAATCATTTCTCGTTTACTACAAACTAAATAAATCGTAAGTTCTCTAACGATATCAATTTAAACCCACAACAATTTACGATTAACGACACCTCCATTGATACTCCCGTAGCTACAAATGGCAATTTTACAGTTTTGCAAGTTTAGCGGCGGCATCGAGTCATAATCTTATCATTTCTTAAAGATATAATATTTATGATCAATAGCTTAATGTTAATGCTACGCTTTGTAAGAACGTTCGAGTGTCCAATAAATCATGTAATCTGACGGAGAACATTTTCGTATTGTGATTCGTTTTACAAAATTATTCCTTAATACGATGCACTTGAAACCAATGAAAAAAGTAAATTAATTAATTAATTAATAATAAAACAATAACAATAACAAAAACAAAGCATAAACAGCATAAACAAAGTGTCGATAGTGCTTTAATTAAAGTGCACTTGCGCTTAATTCTGATATCGTATGTTAAATAATTGAAAGGCGAATAAAACGCGAACGTTGATGTTTAAAGGTTTTAAAGGTTGTAAATTTCGAGTAGACTGATTTCTAAATTTTGAAATTTCTTTTAAAGTCCGTAATCCTGAAAATAATTTTAGAAACGATTTAATTGAATCGGACTCAAATTGATTACGCGAACGTTATATATAATTTTTCAAATAACCGTGCAACAGAATATAATTGTCACACGTTGTACCTCTGCATTCTATTTTCTCGATTTTTTTTTTTTTTTTTTTTAAATAAAACTAAAGATTTTGATAACTTTTTCATTTTAAGTTTTTTTCGGAAATTTATCACATACTTTTCATTAATTTTTTACAGTGAATTTATTATTGTAAGATTTCCTATTATTAGTAATTTTTCAAAATTAAAAATTTAAACTTCCAGCGACATGGGAATTTGAATGGGAATCTCAACTGTGCTGTTGAGAAGTAATTTCTTTAGTAAAAATCTCTAAATCACTATTTAAAGCTTAAACTTAAGACTTAAGAGCTTATATCCGCGAACATATATAAAACGTCGCGACGAATTTGCGAATTGCGAAGTTGTGAATGGTGATTATGAAAAAAATGAGAAAAAAAAAATGAAAAAAAAACAAGAACAACAAATGAAAAAAAAAAACGAAAAAACGAAATTGTGAATTAATCTATCTCTTAATATAAGTTTTGTTTAAGGATTGCCGTTATGTTGATAGGTAGGTAGTTGATCGAAGCGTACGTCATTTTAAGAAATTTTATTACAAATCATCCGAAATTGCGATTATAAAATACGATCTAAGATTCAATAATTTCTATATTAGCCGAAATACTCGTGTTTAACTTGAGAACCAAATTACGCAATCGTTGAGACTATAAAAATTTTATCGATAACTTTCGACCTTCTCTAATAATCAAAAGTGCGATGATTTTATTTTCTGTTATTTCGAGTCACTTTTGACGCTCTTGTTGATAAATTTCAATAATTTAAACTACATTTCATTGTATAATATTAATAAATCATTATAAATGACAATAATGATCGATTTAAGCTATCGAGCACCAATTGCTAATGTTATACTATAATTTCTCAAATTAAACAAATATACTCTCTTGAAATGACATTTATTTAAATTAAATTAAATCTATTTATTAAATTAAAATAGAAAATTATCTACTTTATTTTAGAGTGCAGACGCTTAAGAGTCAGTCGGCCTATTTATAATTTTTCTATAAATTTTATTCGGGTTTATTGTGTTGTTTTATAGGACATTTACGCGATAGTGTGAAATGGATAAAAATGGAGATAATCGAGAGTTGGCACAAATTTTTCCAATTTTTTTTTCTTCCAACTTTATCGTTAAAGTGAAAATTACTTTTACTAGCGATTATTCGCTCTTGCATCTCATTCAACATACGCCCAGGAATTTTCATTTACTCACTTATCCGTTAATAATCTTCTACAACGTAATGTAATTGTTGTAACGTAAGCATAGGCAGTTTTGTACACAATAAAACGGTATTGATGATATTTTATTCTTAATGTTATTATGAAAAAATGAATTGAATCACTAAATGATATATAATTATTTGATAATTGCATTGTCATGAGCAATAATTGTCTTCCGTCATCGGACAAATACGACAAATGAACAAATAAACATTTTATAATGCTTGGCATTTATTAAAAATTTCGTCTCAAAAACATAATTACCGGTGCTGCCATCCTCCGTGACTATTTCGTATTACCGCTACTATTTCCCACTATTTAGTTCTCTTTCTATATGGACGGCTTCCTCTTATATATATATATATATATATATATATATATATATATATATATATATATACGGGACATTTATTTTGAATTCGTTTAATTCGCATAATTGTCATTGTATTGAATATTCTGCAGATAAGCCAGTTGCTTCGACGAGGTTGAGCCCAATTTTGTTTAATATTGGCCAATAATAATGTCTTTGGCTGATGAACTTTTGGCTGATCTCGAAGATGACACGGACGATGTATTCGAAGAGCCGGTGCCGGAACAACTTATTCCCACATCCTTGTCCTCTAAAATTACGGAAAAAGGTTAATTTTTCAGTTCAATTTTTTCCATATATAATACACTTCATTAATATGTTTCTCTGATGGCATTGTAGATATTAAAGTTGATTCCGTTCGAGAACTTGCCAAATTACGAGATTCACCGCTTATGCAAAAGGTTACATCCCAAATTGATAAGTACAGCAAAGTTCTTAGAAAATCTTCGGATATTATTGGACCAGTTGAGTCAGATCCTGAATATCAACTAATTGTGGAAGCTAATAATTTAGCTGTCGAAATAGATACTGAAATTGGTAATAATTATTCGTTTATTTGCTCTATTTCCATTAACCAAGCTAATGTAAGTTGTTTTAAATTAATTTGAGACCGATGCTTAAAGTAAGCTTTATTCAATTAATATCATAATATTTGCAATTGTATGTAAAAAAATATGTTTTTTTATTTTTATTCCTTTCAGCCACTATACATCGATTTACAACAAGTAAATATTCAAAAAGATTTCCAGAACTGGAATCTCTAGTAGTCGAACATTTAGAATATTTAATGACCGTTAAAGAATTAGGAAATGATTTAGACAGAGCCAAAAATAATGAAATTTTACAGCAGTTTCTTACACAAGCAACGATTATGGTTGTATCTGTAACTGCTTCAACGACTCAAGGGTAATATTTTATGAGACTTTTTAAAATTCTGGTTCGATTATTATCGATTTTTCTTTTGATTTATATTATTCGTCGACGTACAAATTTACAATTAATGTTACTCTACATCGTAGATAGTAATTTTATAAATCTTAAGAGATATAAGAGCGATAAACGAAGTATCAAATTATTCTTTTTAACATTAGAAGAAAAATTATTATTTGAGCAACCATTTTTACTAATTTTTCGTAAATTATGTTTCAATGCATATATTTTAGGCAACTATTATCAGAAGCTGAAAAAGAGGCGATCGACGAAGCTTGCGACATGGCTATCGAGTTGAACAATTTGAAGCAAAGAATATTTGAATACGTCGAGAGTAGAATGGCATTTATTGCACCAAACTTATCTGCAATTGTCGGTGCTTCTACCGCAGCAAAACTTATGGGTATTCATTTTAAAGATAAGCATAATTAAGAATGAGCTAAACATTTCAATTAAATTATTTACATTAATTTTTATTTCTAAAGGTGTCGCTGGAGGTTTAACGAAGCTATCAAAAATGCCAGCATGTAATATTTTACTCTTGGGCACGAGGAAAACTACGCTCTCTGGATTTTCCCAAGTAACTGCGCTACCTCATACAGGATTTATTTATTATTCAAAAATTGTACAAGATACACCACAAGTAAGAATATGTTGTTTAATTAAGCTCTTTAATACTTTATTCCAAGTATTTTTTTCAAATGTTCACATATTCAACAGTTTTCTAGTTCGAAAGACAGATTTTACAAATATGTGATTTTATCAGACAAAGGTTGAATAGTTAATGTTACAAAGTATATTTGAATTACAAATTTCAATTTGACACCAAAGCATAAATTTTAACAACGGCATTAAAATATAGCCTTAAAAATTTCTTTTAAATTAAAAAGTTTTAATTGCTTTTATGCAAATGTATAATAATTATTATATATCGATTTGCATTAAATTAACATATTTTTATTATAGGATTTAAGAAGGAAAGCGTCTAGACTCGTTGCTGCAAAAAGCACATTAGCAGCTCGAGTCGACGCTTGCCATAATAGCACAGATGGTCATATAGGTCAACAGTTACGCGAAGAGATAGAAAAAAAATTAGATAAATTGCTGGAACCTCCGCCTGTTAAATTTGTAAAACCATTGCCAAAGCCAATCGATCCTGGTAGGAAGAAGCGTGGTGGTAAAAGAGTTCGAAAAATGAAGGAACGCTATGCCATAACTGAATTCAGAAAACAAGCCAACAGAATGAATTTTGCTGATGTAAATATTACAAACATATACATTAATATTAATAATTATTAAATAGAGGCAAAATTTTGAGATGGAAGGCAAGGTTATTTCGATACTGCGAGGATAAAATAAAATGTAATCGTATCGTCAAATATTTAAAAGCTAATTATTGACATACTGCCGTCAAAAATAAATTGATATATATATATATATATATATACATTATTTAAATTATTAGCCTTTCAATTATATAATAATATTAGAATATTCAACTTAAACAGAATATATAACCAATAAATAATGTTCAAAAAATTTAATAATTATAAATTGTCCAGATTGAAAGCGATGCTTATCAAGAAGATCTGGGCTATACTCGTGGAACAATAGGTAAAGCAGGAACTGGAAGAATTAGATTGCCACAGATCGATGAGAAAACCAAAGTAAGAATTTCAAAAACACTGCAGAAAAATTTACAAAAACAGCAACACTGGGGTGGTAGTACGACAGTTAAGAAGCAAGTTTCCGGTACAGCATCCAGTATAGCCTTCACACCACTTCAGGTATATATTTTATTTCGAATAACATTTCAATCGAATCGCGAAAGAAAATAGAATAATTAAGAATTAAGAATAATGACAACATAATTTTCAAATTTAAAGGGCTTGGAAATAGTGAATCCTCAAGCGGCAGAAAAGAAGGTTAACGAAGCTAATGCAAAATACTTTTCAAATACAGCAGGTTTCTTAAAAGTTAAGAAAGCATAACTCTTGCAGGTGTATATTTATTTCCAAAAAATTTAATACATTTCAGATTACGTATGTACTATGTATATAATTTGTTACTATGGCAACATTGTTATAAATGTATATAAATTTAAAGGATGAGAATTGAATTACCAATCGCAATTGAGATGCCAGAATATTCTATACTTTGAATAAGCCGTAAAGTGGTGTATACCTTTATATCCAGACAATTTAATTATCTTGAGAAAGCTAAATGAAAAATTGATTTTAATGTCTTATCATTCTTATATTTCTAATATACATTTATTTCTTCTATTCCGTCATTTATGATTAATAAGAAACTGTCTAAAGTTGAAGAGATTTTTTCTTTACACAATAATTTATTACAATTTTTTTAAATTCACTTTATTTATGCAAATGCGATGTTGGTAGAATATGCTTTACGAATTGTCATTATGCTTAAAATGTTGTAGGGAAGGACTTTTTATTTCTCATCTCGTTTATATTTCGTCTTAGATCGATCTTATTGGACTTAACGGTAAGCTGCATAACAAAAACTGCCTTACATTAGAAACGAAGGTATGGAGGACCATTAAACGCACTAATACTATGCTCGTCACTTTCAGAAATTATTAAATGGAGTATTATATGATTTACACAACACTGACCTTTGCGGATAAAAGACTGAAGATAAAGAAAACATTTTTCCGCGATTTAGTCAATTTAACTACGAGGATAAAGCTTTCTGTCCAACGTATTATATGATATTATTACCATTCTAAATGAAATCAACTGAGTGATTAGTAATTAGTCGATTAAATTGTAAATGCCATTCATTAATTGATTTGATTTTGAGCGATGCAATTTAGCGAGATATTAGTGTAAATAATTTACGATTAAGAAAATAATTAGTAGTATTAGCCAGATTGGATAGCAATTGGAAGCAATTTATGGTCCAAGTTGTTGCATATACTCTCGCAAAGCTTGCAATTTTCATTTCTTGCTCTTATCCTATATAAGATGCTTTTCCAACAGCTATTGGAATCTCCATTAATTGAATTTAATTGTCTCAAGAAGTTTCGACAACGATCATTTTGTCTGATTTCTGGCTGATTTCTGGCTGATTTCTGGCTATAGGACCATAAGGTATACTTAACGAATTGTCGTTTAGGATACAACAATCTCTCGTAGTAAATTAATTTCCGATATTAATGACAAGGGTTTAATCCGTATAAATTAATACAAAAAAAAAAAAAGATAAAGAAACGGATCGTTATATCAGAGATGCTGTGTTATTGTGAAAGTCTATCTTAATACTGATATTCGTAATATATACTTTATCTCTTTAATTTATCCAACAATTTCACGAGTTTTTAAGGCTGATTATCTTCCAATTATTAGTAAAACAAAAAAAATTGCCACCTATAAACGATGTTTGATATAACGTATTTTTTAATTCTATGCTGATTTATATTATCATGCAATAGTGTTCTTCCAACATGTTGAAATATTAGTTTTGTCCCTCGTGTGAAAGAAGCTACCAAAAGCAGAAAAAATTACTTATAATTATTCTTATCTATCTTGGCGGCTGGCAGTATTATCGCATAACTTAGTGGAGCACAGCATGTGGTATAGTACACTTCTTCTCCTTCTAACACCCACTTCTTCTAATCTCTATTTTACATTCTCCTTTATACAATTTGTATAAAATATAGAAGTCGTAAAGAAGTATTTGAGAAAAAAATTGCATCAAATATGTGTGTGTGTGTGTGTGTGTGTGTGTGTGTGTGTGTGTGTGTGTAATTTTCCATCATCTCATAATTGCCCTTCGCTCTATCATCATGTCCACCTTTATGGGAGAAAAAATCGTAGTGTCGTTAGGCAAATATAATCGGACAATCATTTTCTTGTCCATCATAATGAATTGTAAAACAATACAGAAAATGACTTTGAGCACTTTAGGGATAACTAAATAGCGTAGATCAATTACGAGTGATTGTTACAGCCAGGACATAAATTGGAAGGCATGATTTTCATTTGTTTAAGATGAAAAAGAAATTGTGTTTAAATATTGGTCCGTATAAAATACATTTGATAGCTTACATTAAAATAGTTTAATTCTATAGAATGGGATTTCTAGTTTTGCCTCGATTGATAATTTTTTTGTTTTTACAACTCCTATATCGATTATTGTCAGGAATGTATGTCGTCAATTATTATTTGTGTTTATTCAATTATATTTGTGCATCCGAGGCTTTTAATCTCAGCTCTGACTACTCAGTCGTTTTACGTGAAAATCTTTAAAGTCTATAACAATTGCAGATCCTCAATTTCAGCGTCTTTTATTTTATTTGTTTTTTTTTTGTTTTTTTTTGTTTTTTTTTATTGCATTGTATTTGTATGTTCGGAGCAATAAGTGTTATGGATCTTTATCAATTGGGTTGTCAATTAGATTGTTTGATCGTACGATGGTAGAATGTAATGGTCAAATGCTTTCATCCTCCACACTTTTCCATTCTATCTATCAGATTCTTTTCTCTTTCATTTTTAGCGTCGTATTGTCGGCAAAACTTCCTCTCGCTCATGGATTGCAGAGCCGCGCTAAGCAAATGTTCGATTTATGAATTCATTTGTTTCAATCCTTTTGTTTATATAGTTTTGCAATTTGCCAGATGTGTCTCGATCTGATTGTGAATGTCGAAGAAAAATGCGAGAGACTCTTTCTCATTTGCTAATTGAATGCATACAAACATATTACTACGCTTATCGCTCGGAGAACTTACCAAGCACGTACAATTTACAAATATTTTGTAAAATCATTATGAGCAAGCGATAAATGAGTGGGATTGAGTTGTTTGATTTTGGATATCTTGTACATATCAGACTATTTATGTTTTCCAATCGAAACTTACAAATCACAAATCAATTAATTGAAATCGTAATTTAAATAAATTATACACATTTAAAGAACTTATAATAAAGATTTTAATTACATAAACGATGTAAAGAAATTATCATTATCTTGTAAATTTATTGACCCGCGGCCATTGTATTAATAACATTTTTTCACTTAACAATGGCATTTTTAATCTATTACATTGTCGTAATGTTATCGACGTTATTCCTGTCACTTTCTATTGACTAAATTAATACGTCAAAGATTTACTTACGTGTTACGTTAAATTTTCAATAATTGACGGTCAATAAGGATAATTGATTGCTAACATAAATAGACGAACAACTCTAAATGTATCCACTTTAAGAGGAATAATTATTTAATACTACCTAAGCTGCTTACAAGGCGATTAGTTGCTACGTATGCAACTTCAGTAAACTCCGTGTATGTGAAATATTGTGCAAGTTAATACAAACACCATTAACACCATATAGTTGATCAGTTGTTGTGTCAAGGTTACAATTGATCGGTTAAATAGTTTCCTTGCTTATCACTATACCGGAATAAGTGTCGATGGTGTTGAATGATCTCGATGAGAATGATTTAGTCGAGGTTTGTTGTAGCCGATGCCTTCTTACTCGTCGACTGCAGTTACGTCGAAAGTTATTGTATTTAAGACTCGAGACGACATAATCGGACGATTAGCCAAGGTCGATGCATAAATAAGAATGGAGCCAATGACTGAGATTTAATTAATCGCTTGATCTTTCAGCTACACTTTGGCGGTTGTCGAGCAAGGGACACGTAAAATAAACGACCTCGTCTTTGGCGCTGACCTTGACTTATCGCTACCAGTCTTTTAGTCTGGTTATTTCGATATGTTGAAATGTGGCGTCGCTGGTTGGCGCATTTTTGCCTACATCGTGATGCAAATTATTAAAGTTATTGTACTATAATGTAATTAATAGATGGGTTTTTTTTTTATTTTCTTGCCATTGGAGGAAATACGTGTTTCGCCGTGTCGAACAATGTATTTAGACAAATCTATGTTATCGTGTACTAATTTGAATTTCATTAAAAGCGAATAGTCTTAATAAAATTACTAGACATTTTTGAAATATGTACAATATATATGTCAGTGAGTATAATGATTATAATCAAATATTTCAAACACCAGTTTATGCAAATAAAACACGATAAAGCAGTTATCAGGGAGATGATATCTGAATGCGTTATTACGTTACGTACAATAGAAAAAAAAAAAAAGCACGCTCTTATGTATAATCTCAACGCGGAATAATGTGAAATATCATTTTCACAGAGGTAATATAGATTAAATTTTGATAAAGAAATGAAAATTGGCATTTAACAAAAAAAAACATTGCCTTTCTTACTGAAATGTAAGGAATAACTTTCATATTTCATAATAAGGCAAAAATCATAATTATTATAATTAGTCGAAGCTTCGTATATGCGAGTAATTTAAATTCAAGTTTAAGTTATAATTTTCTACCATATAATTTCAAGATATTTCGTAGAGTTTTGAAATTTTTAATCGCCAGATAAACTTGGTCGATAAAGTTTTTTTTTTTTCATTTAATTTAGTTTTAATTATGTCCTTTTTCTAATCCACGAGTAGTTTGTATTTCATTTTCTGTTTTCGTCTCTATATTCTCTAAATGCATAATATTTTACATTTGTATATACGAAATTTGTTTAGCCATTTACGTTCCTCCTACTTTCATAAATAAATTGATAAAATCAAGTGATATTGTTCATAATTTTATGATCAAGATTGGTCGAAAGTAGCCGTTTCACGGCAAATTGTATACGGCTCGATCGCGTCAACCAGAAACCGTCAAAACCTTGTATAATATTGCACTTCGTATCAGGCCCAAGCACACCTGCTGCACATTTCGTCAAAAATCTCGGTCGAAGTATTGCATTCCATCTACACATTTTCTAATCGACATTACATCGTCATAATTTAAGATTGTGATTGATGTATTGTTGATTATTTGGCTAGCTAAACGAATAAATAGTGGCTATCCACGAATTATATATATATATATATATATATATATATTAAGACACAACAGATGGTCGAAGAGTCAATAGCTGAGGGGAATAATGCGACGACTACAGGCTTACGATAATCTAACCGCCATTATTGACACGATATTGGGTTAAAAGTTTGGCGCGCGCGCCGCTTATCGTCTACGATTCCCTCGCAATTCGCGAACTTAAGTCAGCTGAGTTCGCGGCCGATACTACTCGATCGTGCCTACCTGACTCCTATCCGTCTCTCGGGGTTTAACGCGCCGCGACACAAGACTGGGCCAAGTGTTGCGCGTCTCGACCGCGACGAGTCGCACGCCTCGATCGCCTATTAACGAACGGCCTGTTTTAGTGTCTGCGTCCGTGCCTGTGTTCCTGTCTATTTTTCTATTGGACAGATACGGCAGAGAGAGAGCAGAGAGAGCAGAGAGAGAGAGAGAGCAGAGAGAGCAGAGAGAGAGAGAGAGCAGAGAGAGCAGAGAGAGAGAGAGAGCAGAGAGAGAGAGAGCAGAGAGGAGAGAGAGGCAGAGCCGGCATCTTGGCGTGTCACGCGTCTCGATCGAAAACGTCGATCACGCCAATAGTCGATCGCCGTCCTCCTCGAGGCTCTTCATGAGGACATCTCTGTGATTCGTGTCGAGTGTCGGGGATTCAAGGTCGCTCGGGAACCATGGCCAACCACGAGGATCTCGAGAGCGACTGGTCGACGCTGATCCAGGAGTGCCATTGCCGCTGGACGCAGAGCGGTGAGCTGCCTCACTGAATGCCCTCTCCTCCTCCACCGTCCCCTCCCAACCCCAACCTCTCCGACTCTCCACCCATCCAGCCCACGAGCTGCGATTTGCCACTTATCCCGAGTCGCGTGGACCCCTCAGGAGCTCAGGCCCTGCTCACCCCTCAGCCGCTATACCGCCTCTTTCGTAATGTCGCTGCTACGTTATCTGCCAGACGGCGACATTGTATAGCCTGCATTGGCAGCCAATGTCCATCGATTAAGCGCCAACGACGCGATGACGATATTTGGCATCGAGCTTCCCTACCCCACTGACATCCCCGATGATTCCGTGAGTTCGTGGGCGCTGATAAGTACCACTGCACGGTTAAATGGGAATTCGCGACGGTGCGGCGAATCGTGAGAACTTCGTGGCCCCAA